TACATAATATATATATATTATAATTAATACACATATTAGTAATATATCTTTTTTATACATATGCATATATATATTAAGAGTTTGCATATATAAAATTATTTACATATAAGTCAGAACATGTATTCTATTTTATAAATAAAATTTAAATACTTTGATCTTTAAATACTGAATACTTTACAAAGATCTAATAAATCAATTATATTAAATGTCTACAAACATAAGTATTGCTACGTTTTTATTTATCGTTTTACAGAATTTCATTTCCTGCGCGATGAATTCTGTACTATACATATACAATGCGGTAAAGTCAAACAGGACAATTCTAACGAAATAATCGTGATAAAGCAACGAATTACAAGCTTTAATTACAAGCTTTCGAGATCTACGATGTTCGCATTGGAAACATTACTGCTCCGTTTCGGTTGTAATTTCGAACTAAAAATAAAAAGCTCAACGCATGGAAATGTAAATCAGTACAAACAATAATTATCACAATAAAAAAATATTTCTCTACTTGTCCTATATAATTCAAGCGTGAATACACGAAACACGTGCGAAAGCGAAAAATTACATTGAGATGCACAATCTAACAAGTTATCGTTGCCTAATAAATAAATACGTATTATAGATCCGTATTATTGTTATTTAGAAAGCTTTTCAACTTAGTGGTATTTCGCAAACACCCGGTTTAGTCTACGGATGGAATAAGCGCGCGACCTGGACCTTTGGACGATAAAGTTAATGGACTTCATTTACATTGCATAATTGCGACGAAAACGGAGCCAGCACTCAAATTATACGCAAGGACCAACGACCAGAACCAACAGCAAAGGTACCCTTTGAATATTCGGTATGCTTAAAACACTCATTTATACTGTACACGTCTGTTAAGTATACCACGGATTTGAGAATTAATTGACTACAGACGTAATGTTTAAATATATTTTTATTGCATTAAGTTATCATAAAATTTATAATAGAAAGAATAAGTTACGATTAATTAGGTATATTTTAATTTAAATATGTTTCATTTACGTTCTTTTTGTATGATTTATCATCCTATGTCTCAACAATTTATCTTAAAATTATGTAATAAATATATTTTTATTTTTATTTGCAAAAATCTCCACAAAATCTGTAATATTAATAAATAAATAAATCGCTAAAGAACATTAAGTAAAAGTATTAAAACACTGCATTTGTTCTTTAATCTTATCAATGCAAACACTCTGCATACTAGATTTGCATATATTCAAGTAATATTTGTAATTGGATTACAGATGTAAAATAAAGTCAAATGACCTTTTTTTCATGAAATACGTTTTTGTGAAAAATAACATATAATAAACAATAAACTCCGCTTTTGTTTTTTTTTTAGATACATATTTTTAGATACATATTTTTAGACACATATTTAATATAATAATTGGTATTAAATTTGGCAACCATATTAATCATTTTTATTTAAATATGAAATACAGTTTGTAATTTAAAAAAAAATGTTAATTATTTTTTTAACGAAATTTATAATTTTAGTCATTCCCTAAACTTTCGAAAGTCATTATAGAAGAATCTGAAATTTCGTCCTTGTTGACATTATGTTGCTATAATTTTCCTTATTCTAAACTCTATCAGAAATAGTTTCTTTGTTAGATGTTGGTGTTACTTTGAAGAGCAATGAATTGTTGTAAACTGTGCAATTTTAAATGTGCAATATATAAAAACAGATAAAT